CTTGTCCGCACTAGAAGAGGGTTTCGCCCTACTTTGCTCGGTTCCCCTTGCTCGGGTGCACGGGTCGCGCAAAGTGCCATGACAGTTACATTGTATCAAGCTAGTTCTCAGATGACTAAAATTGTACTCTTTTTTTGGTCCGTTTGTTAGCGGGTTATTCAAAACTAAAATTCCAGGCTGTCGGTGTGGGCAGCGTCCCTCAAGTAGGGACCGCTCCGGGTGATAGGAAGGTGATCGGCTAGGCGGACGACGTGAGCTAGAGATTGTATACGAAATATTTTTTTTCCACCTTGGAGTTTCTGCCACTGTCACGCCTCTCAATTCGAGTCCCCACCGTCCTCCTCCCTCAGAGGCCCCAATCAAGTTTAAACTACAGCGTGCCATTCTCAGACATTGGATCCGTCGGACGCATCCATCGGCAGCTGAAAACGAGTCAGCCCTGGGGATGCTACCAATCTGCCCCTCCCCAATAGACGACACTAGTCACCATACAACCGACTCCAAAGGGAACAACTGTCCCGCAGGCCTGTCAACGGTCAGCCCCGGGGAGTTCTAAGCCAGTCAGCGACAAACAGGCAGGTCAAAGTTCGTGCGTCGAGCACGGATATAATACGAGGCAAGCAGCAAGACTGAACAACTGAGGACCGGCAAGTGCAACAAGTACACTACTCTGATGATGGAAACGAGAAAGTTTCCGAAACGTCAGTTCGAATACAATATGGTCCATGAATTCGCCCTCTCTTCTTCCTCGTCTTCTTCGGAAGATGATGAATGCGAAACCGAAATTATTTACCGACGGCCTGCAGAACTACCTGGAGAGTTGGTCCCCCTACAGACAATCTAACCCTCGCACATAACAGGTTACCTCTCCGTGAAATGTCCTCTCGGGCACCACCAGGTTGCTCCCACCCCTAACATCTTCGTTAATAAACGTCTTGGCTTACTGCTAAAAGTGTAACACCATCTTCCAAACTTGCTACTGAGTTTCCTGAAGAGGCCCCGTCTCCTGCAGAGTTTACAGTGCGGGCTGGAACTACGGAAGCTACTACCAATCGATATCCATACACCGGCGGAAGAACAAACCCGTGAAGTCGACTCTCAAAAAACAAACTTCATTTCTCGCGTGCACTCGTGTAGACGCCCCTGCGAGACTCTGGACTCAGTGTACTTGTTAATACGGCAAATAGCGCATGCTGTCGCACAAGACGAACCTGCTGCGGCAAAGCCTGGCGTGAGCAAGTTCCGACCGCGCTTGCACACACCAACGCCCGCGAACTGTGTGAGCTCTCATCACGTGGCGTGCACCGGCACGCAGAGCCAGGATGACTCGCGAATTTCGACGTGGCACCACGCCCCTAACAACCTTACTAGCTCACAGTCTTTGGCGGCTCATACAATGAATGGCATTAAAACACGCAAGTGCGTACCACACCGAGGGGGAATGGCCAATGGGGGAAGCAAATATTTACTTGAGCATGTTGATAACGAAAAAAGCCTATTGGAGAATTATTACCGACAAAAACAACGGTACTGAATGGCTTCTATCTGATCTAGTAGTCGTCATCGCCAAATTCCAAACTAAACTGGGGTTGGGAAGATCTGTGACTTGGGCCTGAGGCTTTTTGGCCCCTGACACACTGACTCGTTCCTCGCCGGCTGTTATTGGGGTACGGAGAGAGGAAGATCAGTAACTCACATCCGAAAAACGCGTATTTCACTGAGACCATAAATTAAAAATTTCCGCTAGACTAACCAGCTGTCTATTTCCTCACTTAAGGCAATAGTAATTATGCTGGACGGTAGTTTACAAGCATTTTCAGATAACATAAAATGCATGGGGCTGATAACGGGCGCGCAGTGAAAAACCTGTGGCGGTCTATTCGGTGTGTGAAAATTCTGGACGGGACCGACTTATGTGGACCTCTAAACAGGACATGGGAACAGAAAGGCCTCGCCCAAGTAATATAGAGTGGGCCTGCGCATAATTCCGGAAATGAAAAAATATATCCGTGCCCTAACCTAAACAATAATCCTAGTATAAAACTAAACCGTTGCTCAAATCTTGGCCCTATCCCTACCCCAAACCTTAACTCTGTATGAGTCGGCTTTCGGCTTGTCGATACCACGACGCCGATCGATATGTTAGTCTTCAAGGGTTGGCCAAAGCCGGCCATGATGCAGGCGCTTACTCAAACAGCACTACCTTAGCGACTGGCTTTCGAAATCGTTGAACTTCTGCTGCTACTGCCGTTGTCATAGTAAGCATTTCCCTACCAACCCTGTCTCTTTGGCTTTTAATTTGGAAAACTTCTCGTTGTCAGCCCATGACCTCTCGACTGATTTTGAAAAACGAAAACGGTACAGGACCACCCTGGTGTTGGCAAGGTTCCTTGCAGTAGTGACATCTGATGTGTGGTCGGAAGCTCCGGGGTTGATTTTTCAGGTGTAGAACGAAAATTAGTCTCTCCAACCTGCGGCTTCTGAGGGAAACTCAAAATTTATGATGTATATGATTTGTAAGGGCGAGTTTCTGACCTCAGCCTGTAGGTAACCGATCCTGGAAGATCCACGAGCGACCTCTAGGTCTCAAGGATGCCTAATGGATACTGCGGTCGTAATGTGATTCCTGTTGCTAACGCCTGGCTCGTGAATGTGGCGCCAACTGAATCGAAGTTACTTCACTCGTCGCCAGACGTCATGACTCTCGGGGGGAGGGGGGAGGGGGCAGAGGGTGGATCACGTCGAGGGTTAGGTGGAGTGTAGTCGGTGTTGAAACGATAAGCCAAGTGCGGCGAAACAGCACCGGTGATCAGGAGCGATCCAGTCGATTAGAGTCTGCAGCAGGTGACAGTTACTGCCTCAGGTGGCCATTTCCCTCATGCCCTCATGTGATGAAACGTGACCTAATAAAATTTTCTGCTTCCTGATGACATACCCTCTTGGAGACGATGAGTCTGGTGATTGTAGGGTTCTCAGTTTGAAAAGTGCAACTGACTCGTGCCGTTTAACGAAAACTTTATCAAAAATACATAAAACGCACCGGCAAGGGGTTCATAAGTTCTACACCAGCGAATCGGTCTAGGTAACCGAAGAAGATTACTCGAAGTATAAACACTTGGTAAGATGTAGTTTGGTAATCCCACCTGATGGACACAATACTGTGGGGTTGGGATTAAGGGTTAGAGTTAGGGGTTATGGTTAGGGTTTAGGACTAGAGGCCGATGTTCTTTCTGCGCCTAGTTGAAGTCACATGCTGTCTAATATCTGTTGTTTGTGTGTGTTAAATCCATTTTCGAAGTTAGTAAAATATTTTATGACTGTCTTATATATTTATTTAAATCTCGCAAGAAACTCGTGAAAATACTCACGCTGACCTTGCACTCCATTGTTTCTGAACTTCAAAGAAAAGTGTTGAACGTGTTGAAAAATATCGGTCAGTGGTCTTTCTAAATAAATCAATGCACCCTTCCAAATGACAAAACGTCAGGAAGCTTTCATTACACGTAAACGGACTACGAGAAATGAGGATGCGTTTTTGCAACAGCCTTGATAACCAATTTGGAAATGCTTGCGAACTGCCACTTTTTTGCAAAATCTCTCTTCGGTAAGATGTGGTTTGGTAGCCCCACCTGATGGACACAATACCGTTGGGCTTTGGGTTAAGGATTAGGGTTAGATGGTAGGGCTAGGGGTTATGACCAGGGGTTAGGGCTAACGGTTAGGGTTTGGGGTTGAGGTTTAGGATTAGGATCTAGGGTTAGGGATTTGCGCAACTATTTCTCAACCATTCAAAGTACAACCACGCATTCCCAATATCTTTTTTGCATACAGCTACTTGACCTCGTCGCCTGTGCATTCCCCGGCCGCTCCTGTAAAGGCTCCTATTGCCACCAGTCCCTTAGTAGAGGTGACTGGGGTTTGTTTACGTCGGGTGGGGCTACATAACCACATCTGACCGGCCAATTTTCTTAATTTTATGGTAGGACCTTGAAATATGATCCCCCCACGCAATACAGGTGGCCTTGTGCTTACGTCTAGGGAGTTAGGGTTAGAATTGGGGTTAGGACATGGGAATAGACTACTTCCCTGGAATTTAAAGTAAAGCCGTCCGTTTTACTGGGGAGGGAAATCCCTGCTTCCGTGTCTTACTCTCACCTATGCTGAGACGATAGCTAACTCTCAAGCATTTGCTGCGGCTGATTGCAGCATCAAGACCTCCAAATTCAAGTCGTACGGCGTGTTAACATTCACGGCGTGACCTGGACCGGGTCTAATGACTCCCGTCAAATCCAATTGCAGTCCACCTCCGGTATTCGCGGGGCTATGAACCACAGGTAAGCGCGAATAGCTGAAATCCACGAATGCGTAAGACCCCTCTAAAGACGCTTATGACTGCCTATTTTAATGTTCAAATAGCAAATATGCCTTAAGCTATCGTCCTAGGACACTTTAATAATATTTCAAAGTCATGATACAACATTGGGCTTAAAAATATCTGGCTTACACCTACACGTAAACACAAGTACGATTGTCACGATTGGCGAAAACTAATCATGTTAACACTATATTCAGACACACAAATTTTCTTTCATACAGCATTCTGGTCTTGTCGTTTTCTTATAACGTATAGAGTACATAGGAGCAAGGTCGTACATTCACAAGTACAAGGAACAGGTAAAATAAGTGAAAATAATTAACCAATATTTTAGATATGGTCTATGAAAAAATCAGCGAATAAATAAAAATAATTAACCAATATTTTGGATATGGTCTTCGAAAAAATCCGCGAATAGCCAGGGGTCAACTATAGAGGAGGATTACGGCAGACAAAAGACTCCTTCAGGTGCTTGAGGGCTGCTCTATTTAAACAACTTGAAAGAGGTATCTTCACTATAAGTCGGAAGCTTAGCAGGACAGGGTCTTTGAAGGCTGGCATGTGCGAAGTACTTGACGTTTAGGTCGACGCTCGTCGTAGCTTCTATTGACCGAGGGCGGTGTTCATGCACCGACCGCCACCCAGCGTTGCCCACAATGCGCCGCAAATCAGCGTGAACGGAACCCACCTGCAAGTGGTGGACAACTTCGCGTATCTGGGCGGCACCCTCTCCCACAGCAGCAAAATCGACAATAAAGTTGCCCGCCGGATTTCCAAGGTCAGTCAAGCCTTCGGTCGTCTTAAAAACACAGTTTGGAATCGTCAAGATCTTCAACTCAGCACGAACCTGAAGATGTACAAGGCCGTCATGCTACCGACGTTGCTGCATGGAGCGGAGACTTGGAAGGTGTGTACGAAGCAGGCACGTAAACTCAAGCACTTCCATCTCAGTTGTCTTCGTCGAATACTGAAGCTGAGGTGGTAGGACCGGATCCCAGACACGGACGTACAGGAGCGGATGGGAATCTTCAGCATTTACTCTATGTTGAGCGGCCATCTCGTACAGATGGACGACGAGAGGCTCCACAAAAGACTCTTCTATGGTGATGTCGCTAAGGGTTCACGCCAACAAGGAGGTCAAGTCCGACGCCACAAGGATACTCTGAAGCGCCTGCAGATCAACCTGGCAAACTGGGAAGACCTCGGTCGGGACCGGCCTACGTGGAGAACAGTGAAGACAGGCGCAGCATTCTTCGAAGCCAACCGCATCATCGTCGCCAAAGTCAAACGCTAGACACGTAAATACCAATTGCCGTCGCCACCGCCGCTACACAACGTCAACGCCCAACCGCCTCCAACGTGCCCACGATGTCAACGAACATTCGAGCGCCAAGTGGACTTATTGGGCACCTCCGGACCAACTTCAAAACCGGGACTGCACCAACCGCCGTCTCTCCGTCCACCTCTCCTATGTCGTCGAATAACGCTGACCGCCGTCCCGGACCGTTACTGCCACTCTTCTTCGTCTTATTCTTCGTCTTCGTCTTCTTCTTCTTTCCCTTCCTCTCCTCCTCCTCCTCC